TGTGTCTTGTTTTGAAGTCGGTATAAATATATTTATATTTATACTTGAGTCGAGTGGCTTACAGCCACTTTGATTTAGTTTGGGCAGTCTACGATACTTTACAGGATCACCAAAGAAAAGCAAGGTTAGAGGGTTGCTGACAAAAAATTCCTGTGCAATGTGATTCCTTTGGTTTTGAAGGTATTAAATTTCAGTCACCAGGTTAGAGAAGAGTCTAAACTCGTCGAAGGAAACTGCTCAAAATTTAAGTGTCGATGCTAACACTAACCTCGTCCCCAGGGCTTTCTAGTGTAACCAGTCCTTTTTTTTAAGATGGCGGCTCGTCAGAAGTAACGAGACCCCGCTATTCTGGAAAACCGACCGAGAAACCCGCGGAACGAAGGTGATATGAACAATTCACGGATGACAGCACAACGGAGAATATTTCATGTGGCTAAAACGCGAAAAAAAAAATTAACTGTTAAGCAAGGGTGCTGTAACCCTTTACAAACTCAGAGCAATAAGCTTTACTTCTCCATATGATTGATCTATAAGACTCGTGTCGTTCTCTCAAACAAACACATTTAAACGTAAATCGATCGCAACTTAGTCATTTCTTATTATTTTTCATTAAGATGGACAATCAAACTAAATGAATCTTTACAGTAATACTCCATTTTCATGATTTGAACTAAAATCAAATCAGCTTGTTAAAATGAAGGTTTTGACTGAAAGGCATGCAAAGGACTGATTGCAACCAACAATGAACTAAGCAAAGTGCTGTAACCATGGTCACCAAAAACATTGAATAAGCTGAATGAGTTGTAATATCTTTCGCCCTATTAAACCAAGCATTCATCAATTTATTCATTACTTTATTCAATTATAGATTCATTAATTCTTACCTCTATCATTCCATTCATTCATTGACTGATCTGTTTATCCATTCATCTATTTATTCATTCATCCATCCATTCATTCATTCCTTCATTCACACATTCCATCAACTGGTAGATTAAAGCGCCAGTTTATTTATAAGTCTTCTTAGTAAGTGGGTGAGTCAGTCACTAAATGGTTCATTTATAAAACATGTATTCATTCATGTTGTGGGCAAAGCGATCCTTTAAATGTCGCTTCAAAAAGTCATTATTTCTGATGAGTCTGCGACACTGTATCCCACATGTTATGACACAGCGGCTAAATGAGTGCGCATGCTCACCGAATTTGGAGCTTCCGAGGAGCATTTTATGACTCTAGCGAGAATTAACTTTGTTGGGGAAACAAAATAACATCGTTTTTCCCTTTGTTTAGACAGTTATTGTCACTAACCAGGAGGACAAAGTGATAAAGTTTGTTTTAATGAGAAAGGTGTATACGGTATGTAGCATTCTTTTAACTATATTTTGAATTTATCAGGACAGCTAAAGAGACAGCAGTTGCTACAAACTAAGTACAGTCAAACCTCGATTATCCGGACCTCGATTATCCGGATTTCTCGATTATCCGGACCTCGATTATCCGGA